TATATATATATATATGGTGATGAACGAAGTGAGAGAGAAGTTTTAAATGAAAAAGGGAAATCACTTTGTGAAAGTGCAAATACAATACAGAGCATAGAGAGAAAATATAATTACAAGAAAAATATTTCTTGTTCTTCTATCCTTGAGTTGATATTTTTGAGAAAAATTCCAGCACAAAATTTTTATTCAATTTGTTTGCCGGTTCATTGATCAAAGAGTTGATAGCAAGGATCAGTCTCGGTGTGGATAAGCATAGGGTCTTCGCACTATCGAAGAAATTTTGCAACAAGATTCTCTTCACCAGGTATGTCTTAGATCCGATCTTTGATATATAAATAAATTTTAAACACGAAAAATTCTACCGAGGATTGTTATTGTCTTCCACTGCGTGTTATGAACACCTCTATGCAATCCAACGGTGGTATCAGAGCCATAGTTTCTCGTGTCTTAAATTTATTTACGAAATGTTTTATGATTATATTTGAAAAGTTCAAACCATAATACATGTGTCTTGTGCATTAGACAAATTGTTTGAATGCATGGATTGATATTATTTTATTGTGAATAAAATATGTATTCATAAAAGTTAAACTATTGAGATAGTTCGTAACTTGAATTTAAAATTCCGTACAAGATACGATGGTAATCTATAATAGGTTATTAGATTATACAGTTATTTAAATTGTTATTAATTTATGAGGTATTAACTAATAATAATTTTCTGGCATGAATTATTTTATGTGATATATGTAATATATAAGATAAACATGTTAGAAGTATGTTGAATTTCCTTTTTATGTCACATGCTTGTTCGACATATGATTTTGAATTATTTATTACATGTGATGTAAATTAATTTAGGACAAAACATGTAGACAACTTAAACCAAATTCATGTGCTATGAAAGATTTGATCATCATGTTATTAAAAGTTGTTTTAGTAATAATTCTCTCTTACTAAAAGTTTGAGTTCTTGAATAATAAAATATAAGATATTTTATTATAGAACTATCTATCAAAGTAAATAATTTTACTCACTTCTTGTTTATAAGGAGCGGCCTGACAACTAGGAGACTTATAGTTCGAGAATATGTTAAAATTATTTATTTGCATTAGATGTA